CTGCGCCCCTGAGGAGGTGCTGCGCAGCGCCCATTCCAAGGAAGGAGCCCTTATAAGGGCCCTATCAAGCTACAACACCGAACACCCACCACGCCCGCCCGCCCACAAATGGACGACCGTTCCTGACGCTCGTATTCATTCATTTGCTAAGCAAATTATGAAGCGAAGGGATTGGTATGAAGCTGCATGATATATGAGTACACATATGCAGCCGTATCTTCGGTAGCGGTGATTGGCAAGATGCCTTCGGGAAACTCGTCCGAAAGGGCCTATAAGGAAGTGGAGATGGTAAAGTGACAAGTAGCTCGTTTACCACGAGCGCAGTCGTGATCAAATCCTGGATCGGCTCTTGCCCATCCCAACCAAACTTCCTCTCCTGCAATGATGAATTAATACTAGGTTTGTCTGGGAGGATGATAAACTGCCTTGTACGTTGGCTGGCCGTCCTAGGTCATTGGATGGACCTTATCGCATAAAATAAACTACTACAGCTTGAATGGAGGTAGAAGGGGTGCCGCACCCCACAAAGGATAGCTCAATGACGACGACTTGGTCCTTTTTACCCTTTAATCGACTTGACAACGAAACAGAAAGAAAACAAGACCGTCCTGAATGTTCTGTATAAGACTCTGGCGCAGTTCGGCGAAGGGGAGAGGGCATTGCCCTTTCGTTGCTTCGCTAGTTCCGTTTTACAAGTCACACCCTAGTGAAACCTGTGAACTCCTGTAGAAGCAGGAGTAGGCTCGTGGAGCTAACATGGTAAAACCTGACAACTCAAGAAAAGGCTCTCTAGATGGGTTGACACGTCGATGGGAAAAAGCAAAAGTGCAAAATTCCCACCCCCCCCCCTCTTGTCGCATTGCTGCGGCCACTGCCGCTTTTTCTCCTAGATGATTGTGGACGTCTTGCGAGAGGAGCGAAGGGACTACTGATGAGCGATGTAACAGAACTAGTGACGTAGCCTAAAGAAGAACAGGAATAAATCGAGACAAGTAGGGAGCGCGGCATACGCTACACGAATATGATGACGGTCTTTACAGAGACATTAATACAGCACTAGTTATCTCCGGGAGGGCCTTGATTGGGTAGTGATCCACTCCTTTACAACCTTCAGCTCCTTTTGCCGTCCAGGCGCCAGCGAACGCTCTCCGTTCGTTTTGCAGTTGCAAAGCAAGAACAAGAAAGGTTCATACTTAAAAAGTAAGAAGCTTGTACCATTCCTTTCGCTCAGAACTGTCTCGTCGAAGAGGTCGCACATCGAACAGGCGGTCGTTCTAGCGTTTGTTTGGTGGTTCTTTGACATTACATGGGATCTAGTCGGTATTCGTTCTGATCCATATGTCATCAGAAGACTGCTCGACGTGTCCTAGCTAGCTGAGCCTTTATCTGGGATGAGGCATAGCCTGAACCCTCTAATCCTAACCCTCAATACGAAACCCCAAGAGAACCGGAAACCAGTAGTTATTCATGAACCTCTATAAAACAGCAATAAAGCTAAATTCATAGCGTTTCCAAAGCAATTTATTTCCGTTGATCATTGAGTCATACGAGTCATAAAGAGATTCCTCCGTGAAAGACAAAGGGGGGAAACACTCGCAGCACGAATGCACCCACCTGATGACTTAGGGAGAGATTATGTTTGCACGGGGAGAGATTCTCAAAGTTCAGGGCTGGATCAAGCCACATTTCGTTGATGTAGATATCCATCTGAAAGCGTAGTATTTCTCTGGGATATTTTCGGCCTGGAATAAAGCCACAAACCTCAAAATCGTTGGTGATTTCATTGATGGATGTGATGGTATTGATCCAGAACTGGACGGACACTTTCACTCCGTCGTCGTCTGGAAAATGTAGTTGAACTGAATGTTGGAGACCAGAGGTGAATCGTACAATTCCGAAACACCCGTGGGTAACACACTTATGATACTTCCGGGCTAAAGGATCACTTCCTTTTGGCGATGTCCCCATGCGAGCATTACATACAAGACGAAATTTCTCTAGTCCTATGGGGAAGCCAGAATAAATCATTTGAAGTATGCACAATGAATACGAGAAAATGAATCAGGGGCAGTTCGGCTTGGTGGGGTCACCGTATGGTGCTCAGCTATTCAGGCCACATCGAGAGAGTCTGTGAATTCCTGTGACCGCAGTGGTTTACTGAAAAAAATTCCGCGATTATCGGGAGCGTGCAGGTCTGACCAAAATGAGACCTGTTCTTTAACATGAACTAACAAATGAATAACCGAGAGGGCAAAATGCTCCCTCCAAGCAAAACAGCGCCGATCAACAATACGACAGAACTTATTCAGGAAAACCCCACTATTTCTCATCGTAAAATAAAGAAGATTTGGAATTAGAGGCAACAGGTTGGTCTCCGTTTATATGTATTTCATGTCATTTTCCCCCACTATATGGATTGCCGCACTTTGAATAGTTTTTGTAGTTATACTCATAGTTTACAAATGTCTAACTGAGCTCTAACCGCCTCGAGAAGGCCACTCACCGTCAGTGTTGGTTACGTCATGTTTATTCCACTGCACCCTCTCACTGAGAATCTGTGACTTGTTCCAACAAGTTATTAGTCGCTCACCTTGTTCAACGTCAGAACGCTCGCTGCGACCCCCCCCCCCGCTCCCCACCTTCCGCCACTCCACCCCACCTGAACAGCATGACTAGCTTTGTCGTGTCAGAGCGTGACGTGGCTGGCCTCGTCGTACCCTCCGGGTCATATGACTACATAGACTTTCGCGAATGGTCCTGTTGCGAAATACGGTAGCGCAGAAAGATAGAGGGCAGCGTTGGTGGAATCGTCAGGTGTAAAACAACATTCGGAGAGCCAAGGGATGGGTTCCCCGAATGGAGGAGACTCCGGGGCAAGGCACGCCATCGCTGTGGAAATCACGGCGGGGTCTCGTATTTGACCGCAAGGGAAGTTTTTTCTGAACAGCAGGAGTACATCTTCTTGCACGGTAAAACATGCTCTAGAAGTTACACCTTTCCATCCCGTCTGCGTGGTGGCGTCGAATGCATGGCGCAATGCGGAGGGGGTGTCAGTCGGCGGGCGCCGAATGAACAATTCTCTGATAAATTTGGCAAAAGATGTGTTCCAGAAGCTTAAAAGGTCCTTAAACGAAAAGGAAATGGTACTGTCCCGGAGGGATTAGTTTCTCGTGTCGAACGAAACACTCACAACGAAAACACACCAATGAGTTTTTTGGGTAGTGGGCAAAAAAAAGGTGTTTTTCTACAAATGGGGAATTTTCTGGAGCCCGGCACTTTTCGGTTTTACGAGAAGTCACAAGAAGGAAGTTATGACAGTCAAAGCACGAAAACTCTTAGATAACACCGAAATTGAATAAAAGTGTCACAACAGGAAAATTTCCCCAAAAACGTTCACATTGGCTCAAGGAAATAATTCCTGTGCTTGCGCTGTGACCTGAAGCTCCAACCACGCTTGTTTGTCACTTCAGAAATTCTACTGTCAAATAGTGTCCATGGATTCAAAAGAAAAGTAATTTCTAGTGTTCTACGCCCATTTTGTGAGATATCACAAGAATAACGTTGCTCCAGCAGACGGCAGAAGCGGCGCTGTAAGTCATCGCTGTATGCAGCGAGAACGGTGCAAAACCCATGTAATCTGAAACTGGATGCGTCATCCCTTTGCCGGCTGGAGCAAGTGGTTCAAAGACCCTGTCTTTTTTTGGGAAGGGGGGGGAGGAGGAGCGTATTTAGCAACAATTTACACAAATTTTACTTTAGGCAACATCTTTTCCACAGAATAACGCCAGAGCGGTGTATACACCAGGAATGACAGATTTTGTGATTTCCCCAAACAAGTTTTCTCACCCCTTCAGGTTAGTGCGGACCGTTGTGAGCAAGCCACATACGACCCTTTCCACAGCGAGGTTCATATCATGGCTGGCTCAAAATTCCTGAAGCACGCCTCGGAAACTGATCTCGGAAGAGTTTATAGAGTTTTGGGTCCTCATTCTTTTTTACCCCATGAAATGCTCGAAGTTCCTTTGAAGGCGCTCCCCTTATTGTCAGTCGTCTCACTTAACTCAAAAAGCTTTTTAGTGCTTCCATTCAGACGTGTGACCTGTCTGAGTTCCACGTCTTTCACTAATTCGGAACATTTTTCATGGCTCCCTCTGGAGATCGCGCCGGAAGATAAGGCTCAGAGGGACGCCTCCCCCTCTTCGGTTGTGTTCACTTTAGTGAACTTCGCTGGTCGCAGTGGGCCTCGGTAGAGGCATTTCATCAGCGGAGATTAGCCATGTCATGTTCTGACGCGACAATGGCACGTCATGCTGTCTGAATGGAAGAGACTTTGTTTCGACCTTTACTAGCTAGAAATTTGACGTGCTTCGGTGATGAGGGATGGGCAGAGGAAGGCCACGAAAGTGACTCAGCCTTTGGGAGAGCTTCACGCCTAAGCATGGGTGTCTCTGGTATCTGCGAACATCCTTTCGGATCTGACACTCTGAGGATTTTTGAAAATGATTGCTCGATTTTGGAAATAGTTGGTAATGCCCTCCCTTTATTTTTGACTGACAGAGTCAACAGAACTAGTTCAAAGGACCCTTTCTCACTCCCTCAGGTAGTGGCGCGAGCCGAGATGGGGGTCAGTGTTAAACAGAGGTTTCTCGAGGTCACACGTCGTATGTTGAGAATTTCCAACAAGTGGGTAGTAAGGTCGCCGAAGGAAGGGAGGGAGTCGCATTCATGCGCAATGTTCACCCCCCATGCCTTGGCGATAGTTTTTTGGGGAAAAGTGGGGGTATTTTTAGGAAAAAAAACTGCGAACTAGAAATTTGTGGAAGATAGTCGGTAGGATGGGAATGGGAAAGGAGGGGGGGGGGCGCACCAGGCAAGAAATTCGGAGAGGAGAGGGTCTTGTTTTGCAAAACTTTTCCTAGCGATAGGACGTGCTTTTTCGAGGTGCAATGATAGGAGCTGTTGGCCTGAAGAGACTCCCACAGTCAGTCCTCAGGGTCTCGAAGCTCAAGGCTTCACCAGTAAGCTATTATAGAGTAAACCGGGTCAAGTGACATCTCCCTTCTCATCACATTTCTTCTAATTGGCCTGGATAAGTCGCGAGCCAGAATGACTTACTTGGAATGCGAAATTTATTGTATCCAGTGCCGTTGAGCAATTTGTCGATGATCGCCGTGTCTCGTGTGCAATTACGACGACCCTTTCGTCGGTTCAAACTGCCGTAACTACTGCTACTACTACTCTGCGTAGTCGATGATGTCAGCAGCTCGTCATCCATCGCCAAATTGTAATCTTTATCGATAACTATGCATTGAAGGACTGCGACGGATGGTAATATCAGTATGCATAGCTTCATCTGAAAAGCTCTCCTTTCACATGATTGAATGAGCAGAAAAGAGAGGATAAAAGCAGCATTACGATTCGCTGAACACGCAGAAATCAGGGCGAGAAATCGTAAAAACTGAACATCAAAAGTGGGAGATCAGAGAAATCAGAAAAAAAAACTCAGAGCAGATTCAAGGGAGAGGAATAACCTCCGTGCAAGGGCGCTATTTTGCTTGGAGGGGGCTTTTTGCGCTTTCCCCTGTCCCTTTGGTAGTTCATGTTAATGTTAACAGGTGTCACTTTGGTAGACCTGTGAATTCCTGTGAAGCTGTGAATTTTTTTGAATGAGTCACTTTATTCACAGGAATGCACAGAACTTTTTGAGGAGGCATGTGAAAGCTCAGCTGAGTTCCAATCGATGCCCCCACCAACACGATTTGTGCCAGCTTACAGAGGCTGTTCCAAATAGCAAACTCCTTCAGCCAGGACCACCACCTTCTACAGGTCGCTGAACCCACTCCACTCAGAAGCGCAACCCGTCACTTTCGATGATTCGCCCCTCCATAAAATACGCCACGCATTTGAAATTCATTGCAAGCCTTAACTGCCCTCCATGCCAATTAGATATTTTCACTTGTTTTTGCTGGCAATGTGGTACTTGAGCTAATTTAATAGCTCCAAATGCCGGCATGGACTTCTTCCGAAGAGCTTCAAAATGGCGTCATTTCTCCTGCACACTTACAAGGTCAAGTGAGACTTTAGCTTCAAAAAGGATTGCCTGATCCAGAAACGGTTCGTCATAGCAACGTGCTTTCAGCATTCGAATTCGTTCATACGGATAAGTTTTCCATAGAAACATATTTAAAGCATTCTCTTATATAGACGATGACGTCATTGACCGGAAATTTACTTTTAGTAACTGGGTAAAAGAACGGCAAAAAGGGCAAGGTTAACAAACTGGCCAGCGTTCCATCCCTAGATCGAGCTACACTCTAATAAATCATCCACAAGCGGTACTTATATAAGTTTCTTTGGCGCTGTTCGGGTTGGGAGGGACATCTTGCACTTTTGACATTTCCTCCTAGCTAATTCATGTTGATTAACAGATTACACTTTGGCAAGTCCTGTAATTACACTTTGATGGTCCTTTAAACTCCTGTGAAGTTGCGAGTTAGTATAAATGAGGCACTTTGGTAGCAGGCATTCACAGGCCTTCACAAGGTGGCCTGAACTAGTTTCGCTAGATATCATTTGGTGCCCCCACCGAGCCGAACTGCGCCGTTTCTTTAGTTTAGTCTGCTTCAGACGATATAAAATCGTTAAGTGTTAGCTTCTTCCAGAAATTTGCTCTTCCGATGGAAATTTGTCACGTTTCGGGTCCCAGCTTCAACTCGTAAATTTTAATCGAATCAACAATGAAAACAAATGTACAGAGCTGTCGAAGAAGTCCTAGATGAAGCTTCACCATTAGACGAGCATTCAAAGAAGCGAGACACTGTTGGGCGAGCAAGAGGCCAGAGACAAAGGGGAAGTGAGGAAGATGAGCCGCAAGAGAAACC